GTTGGAACCAGGATAGTGGTTGCCTTTGGGGGGCAGAAGTGGTTGGAAGAGGGTTTAAGGGGGAAAGGTCTATGCCTTGACCCATTTTGGTTACATAGATTCACTCTGGAAATTCATTGAGCTTTGCACTAATGATCAGTGTGCCTTTCCATAAAATCCAAAGAGGATAGTTTTATAAATCAGAAAGTGGTAGCCTTTCTTCCTCCAATCCTGTTCCCCAGAGGTAGCCATGGATACAAATTGGGTAGTGTCTTTATCCAGTTATAAATATATTTACTGAGCTGTCTCCACTGTCCCTCACTTTGCATTTTTCACGTAACAGTGTATCTTGGAGGATGTGCCAAAGAGCTGCCTCCAGTCTTTTATCAGTTACGTTGTATTCCATTGGGGGCGATACCTACCAGACCCAGTATAAACAGTCACCTGTTGACTGTTTTCCACATTAGCCACTTTGAGCAGTGTAGCAGTGTCCATTTTGCACCTGTGTGAGTATTGCAAAGGGATGCATTCCTAGAAGTGGGGTTTCTGAGTTCAAGGATATGAGCATTTTAAATTTCCCTTTGAAAACCGCTCCGTGTATAGCAAAGCGTTTTAGGCGAGACTATAAGCAAATGTGGGAGATCTATTGATACCATTTTCCGCCTCAGCGCCTCTGGGATATTGTGAACTGCAAGATGATATCTGTGTTCCAGGCGAAGGTTGAATCTCAGAGCAGATGCTTCTTCCTCCAGGAAGCCCTCCCTGATTCCCAGGCAGGGTCAGATAATTCTTGGGCTTCCCCAGCTGCCTGAGCTCCCCACGTCTAGCCCTGACCACTCTGGATGATAGATGTGTCTCCCCACACACAGCCCGACTTGTCAGTTCCATAAGAGCAGGGCCAAAGCTGTTAAAGTCACCACAGTGTCCCCAGCACCACCCTGCACAAGGTTGGGCACAGAGGATGAACTTGGATGGATGGATGGATGGAATTTATAGGACTAGAGAGAGTGGAGACTCAGAGCGGACAGGACTCAGCTCCCAGGGGCTCAGAGAGGGGAGTAGAGACTTGAGGATTGGGAGGGGGCTTCCAGAAGGGGACAGGGTCTCAAGGAGAGAGATAGAGACTCAGAGAAGGGTGGCATCTCAGGGATAGGCATGGGAACTCAGAGAGGTGACTGGGGTTTAGAGAGAGGAGTTAAAGCTGGCAAGGACCATGGATGCAACGATAGGGGGTGCAAGTTGCAGAAAGCCTGGGAGCTGAGGCTCCAAGGCAGGGTGCGGGCTCGGTAAGTTCCCTCCTTTGTCCTCCTCCTTTTGCAGACAGCGAGACCCAGGCTTGTCTCCTGAAGCTTGACACCTGCTCAGATCTGAAGGGCTGGGGAGGGGCCCAGGGGCTTTGCTGGGTCAGCACTGGACTCCGTTGATCTCTCCCCTACACCTCAGGGGCCTCTTCCACACTGTTCATCAGAAAGGCATTGGGCTGAAAAGGAGGGTCCCCACCCTCTCTGGGCAGGGATGGAGGGGAGGGGGCAGGAAGCCCCAGGGCAGTGTGGATCCTGACCCCTTGTGCCTCTCCTTGCCCAGAATTTCCTGCCCAGGTGACTTTTTGGTCCTGGCTGCAATTTCACGTTTAGATGGAGTTGAATTATCCTGATCCCAGTTGACTCAAGCCCAGTTCGAGGAGAGGGCATGGCCACCTGGAGGCTCCCTGCCTCCCTTTCTCTCATCTGGACCGTGGCCATGGATAGTCGCCTCCCCATCTGGCTTCATCTTCCTCCCCAGTGATGGGGCTGCTCAGCCACTTCCTGGTTGTGTGACCAGGGTGACCGGCAGAGCCTTGGGGACCTCATCAGTGCACCAGGAAAAATAACACCATCCACCACCTCACAAGGGTTGACGGGGATAGGACCAGGCAGTGAGGCACAGGGTACAGTGAGTTAGGTGCATGCTTGTCCTGGCACACAGCGGGGCTGGCAGACAGTGGCCAAGAGCTCTTGGAGTCTATCTGATTGGGGTTCAGATTCCAGCCACTGCCTCTAACATACTGTCCTAACCTTCTGAGCCTACTTCCTGCCTGACAGAAACAGTCCCTTCTCCCAGGGCCAGGGGGATGGTGCCATGAGATGTTCTGCATTTAAGATACACTCAGGGAACCCCTTGCACAAAACAGGTACCCAATAAACAGTTGCCACCCTGCCCCAATCCCACAGCCAGAAATCACCTCCGTCTGAATCCAAACAGTTAGTGTTTTACAAGCGCTCTCTCTGGGTTAGGATCTGAGCCAAATGCCTCACACACAGCCTCCTCGCTGAGCGCTCCCCTCCCGCTCGCTTGGCAGCGGGGCTGTTGTCAGAGCCTGGGGTGAACAGGAGGGGGTGACTTTAGCTGCACTCCTGCCCCCATCCGGGCCTCTGTTTCCAAATCTGCAAGTTTGTTGAGGGAATCCTCGGGAGCATGGCACTTGACACGTGGTAGGTGCTAAATTAATGCAACTGTTAGGAGTCTTTCCCCCATTTTACAAAAATGGAAACTGAGGGAGTTCCCTGGTGGCCTAGTGGTTAGGATTCCAGGCTTTCACTGCCGTGGCCTTGGTTCAGTCCCTGGTTGGGGAACTGAGATCCTGCAAGCCATGCAGTGAGCCCAAAAAAGAAAAGAAAAAAAAGTGGAAACTGAGGCTCAGGATAAGGTCAGAGCTGCTCAGGGGACCAAGAAAATGTTTGTAATCTAGAAAAAAAGTGGAACACAATGTTCATAACCAAAAAGTAAAAAACGCCTAAATGTCCGTCAGCTGATACATGGATAAATAAAATGTGGTGCATCCAGACAGTGGAATGTTATCTGATAATAAAATGAAATGATATACTGACACATGCTACAACATTATGAACCTTGAAAATATTAATGCAAAGTGAAAGAAGACAGACCCAAAAGATCACTTATTTATTCACAATAGCCAAGATACAGAAACAACCCAAATGTCCAGCAGCAGATGAATGGATAAAGAAAATGTTGTATAGCCCATACAGTAGAATATTATTCAGCCTTTATTTACAAAGAAGGAAATCCTTCCATTTCTGACAATATGATTGAACCTGGAAGCCATTACGCGAAGTGAAATAAGCGTGTCACAAAAGAACAAATTCTGCATGATTCCACTCACGTGAGGTATTCAGAATACTCAGACTCTGGGGGTGGGGGAGGGATGGACTGGGAGTTTGGGGTTCGCAGATACAAACTATAAAACAGATAAACAGCAAGGTCCTCCCATATAGCACAGGGAACTCTAGTCAATATCCTGTGATCAACCATAATGAAAAAGAATATGAAAAAGAATGTCTATGTTGTGCTGTGCAGCAGAAATGAACACATTGTAAATCAACTATATACCTCAATAAAAAATAATAAAAAATTAAAATACTCAGATTCGTCAAAGTCGAGAACAGATGGGATGGGATGGGGAAGTTCAAAGATCTGCTGTACAACATTGTGCCAGTAGTTAACACTCCTGTATTGTGCACTTAGAAATGTGTTAAGAGGGTAGATCTCACGTTGTGCTCTTACACACACACACACACACACACACACACACACACACACACACACACACACACGACCACATATTCTGTGATCCCATTTATATGAAATGTCCAGAACAGGCAAATCTATGGAGAGAAAAAGTAGAGGCCAGTGGTCACCAGGGCCTGAGAGGGATAGAGGGGTTGGGTTGATGGTTAAGGGGTGCAGGGTTTCTTTGCGGGGAGTGCTGAAAATTTTCGGAAATTGACTGTAGGGGTGATCGCACTGAATTGTGCACTTTAAATGGATGAATTGTCTGCTGCGTAAATTATATTTCAATACAGCCATTTTTAAGTGGGGCACCAAAATCTGAAAAGAACCCGGCCAAACCAAGGTGAATACATCTTTAATTAAATACGTACAAAATGTTCATTCCTCAACTCCTCTCTTGTATATCAATGACATTGAAAGTGTCATTTTAGGACGTCAAGTGAGGTGCATATATCCTCTGGGCATCTCACTTTGTCTTGGGCAAAGAGAGGTTAAGCAGTTCCTCAGAGAGGGACGGGAACCACAGCCCAGAGAGGGTCAGCTTCCTATCCGGCATCACACAGCCCTGGGGCTCCAAGAGTCCCGAGTCCCCACCTTCAAACGTGAGTTCAAATGTGCGTGAGGTTCCAACCGCAGCTTCCACGCTGACCCCTGGCTGCCTCCTCCTTCCGACTTTGCAGGAAAAAAAAAAGCCATGCCAGGAAGCATCCATCACAGGCTGTCCAACTGGGCCGGAGGGGCAGGGGTCAGCAAGGAGGTGACCTCAAGGTCTCCGTGGGGACCAGGATCCGGCAGGGCTGGGGGTGAGAAGCTGGAATTTTTCCCACCCTGACATTTTCCTGCGTCAACCCAGGAGGGCGCCCTGGATGCCGCCAGCCCTGCCCCCAACCTCCTTCCTCTCTTGATACAGTTTCCCGGCTAAGGATGAGGGGGACGGGGCGGGCGGGGGTGGGGGGGCTTGCCAAGGTGGAACCACTAGGCCCAGGAAAGAAGGCACTTTGGGGTTGACAAAATGAGGGACGCTGGCTCAGAGAGGCCAAGGGCCTGCTGTGGAGTCACGCAGCCTCGGGGACTTGGTGTAAACAGGGCGGCCCGGCTGCTCCTGCATTGCAGGGCCTGCCTCAGCCGCCACTGCCCTGCCCAAGAGTTGGACCCTAGCCCGGCCTTGGGCGTGTGAGAAGCCCTTGGCCCTGGTCCCTGCCCCGGGTCCTTCCTCCCCCCCACACACTGGGGACTCAGCCCTTCCTTGTGTTAAATAGAAACCTCTTTATTCTAAGTATCGTACGTTCCTTAATACATTGGATTGAGGCCAGACCTTGAGGTGAGGGGAAAGGGGGGGCCTGGGATATTTCTGTAGAGCCTTCCAAAACACCACCCACCACTCACTGGGCTGGGGAGGTGGTGCTGGGAACGGGCTTCATGGCCTCGGGAAAGTCCTTGCTCCTTCTGGCCGCTTTCTCTTCTGTACAGGGAGTTTGGGGGTAGGTGAGGAGACCTCTAATGATCTTTGCAGCCCAGGGGTCTGTGGCCCCAGACAGGGAGTCAGGAGGATGGTCTGTCAGCAGCAGAGACGGGGGGCACTGAGGTGGAGCCGGGAGAGTCTCAGTGTTGGGCCCGGGGCCGTGATGGAGACGGAGATGGAGGCCGAGGCCAGGGCAGGCAGGCCAGCCGGGAGAGGGAGAGATGGCCCAGGAAGAGAGGGAGGCTGAGGCAGAAAGGCGGCCGGGGCACAGGGATGTCTGCAAAGAAGGCACGGTCCCGGGGGGGCGACAAGGTTCCCCCCTCAGAGAGTTCCAAGTCCCGGGCCACCGCCAGGATCTCATGGCGGGCGACTGTGTGGTGCAGGCCACGGATGTCCAGGAGGGCTGCCACGTGCTTCCGCCTGGGGGTAGAGGAGGGGACAGGTGCACAGGGTCCTCCAGATACACTCCCAGCCCACCTGTGGGCCCCACCTGGCCGTCTGTTCCAGAACCTGCCTTAGCTCTGGAGCCCCTTCGATCCCTCTGAATTCCTCCTCCATACCAGTCCCCCTGAGATCCCACCCTCCCACCAGCACCCCTAGATTCCCCCCGCTTCATACCAGCTCCCCTCCAGAGCTTCCCTTCCAAACACTTCCAAATCCTCCTACTCACAGTGGATTCCAGAACTGTCACCTCCCAACCCAGCACAAGGATATTCCTTTTTGCCCCATCTCAGCTCCTGATTAAAACAACGTTCTATCTTCACCCCCAGCTTGGCTCAGACAGCTCCTGAATTTCCATCCTGGTACCCTTGCACCTGTTTAAGCTCTGGACTCTATAGCAACCCTTAACCTCATTTTCACTTTCATCTCAAACAGCCCCACAGCATCACTCAAATCCAGCCCGGAAGTGCTCACCCACAGCCCTATCCTAACCCTCACCTCACCCCAACGCCAGGTCTGGAGTCTTCACCACTGCTGTCCCAGGACCCTCATCCAAATTCGGCCTTGGAACACTCACTTCACCTCCAACCCATTTCTGGAATTGTTCTCAACTAAAATTCTCCTCCAGAACTTAAAATTCACCTTGGGGACCCTCACTCCAACCAGAAACTTTGTGCTCAAAACTGGCTCTGTTCCACAACCCTCGCCCCTAAATCCAACACAATGGAACCTTCCCTTCACCCCAATCTCAGCTCCAGATCCCAGACCCAAAACTCAACTCCAGAACCACCATCATATTTCAACTCAAGATCCTGCACCCAACATTCATTTCCAGAACTTTCATTTCAAACAGAGTTCTGGGGTCTTCACCACCCCCTTCAACCCAGCTCAGTCTCTTCACCCTCCTGCATCCCCAAGTTTGGAATCCCCACAGCTCCAAAACACTCATCCAAAATGGGGCTCAAGAACATTCCAGCTCAACAGAGATGCAAAACACAGCCCCCAAACTCAGCTTTGGAACCCCTCCTCCCAGCCCAGCTTGAGACCTTTCAAACTCAGCTGCATATCCAAGTTCAGATTCAAGTTCAGAAACCCCAACCCGGAATGCCAGGACCCTGGCCCCCATGCGACTCCAGGGCTCTGTGCTTTCCCAAGGACATAAGCCCCACACCTCAGAAGCAGAACCGCCCATCCTGAATCAGTTCCAGAATCCTCACCCTCAGCCCCACGTCCTCAACTTCAACCCAGCTAATGCCTTACTCCTGGGTCCTGGGGGATTGTCTCTCTGCGTACAGAATGTCTGCCCGACTAGCATCGCAGGACTGCCGCCACCTTATGCAAGTGGCAGTGTTGTATGGTGGTCAGGTGTACCAGCTTCAGAGCCTGCTGCCTGGGCTCAAGTCCCAACTTCGCTGCCCGCTAGCTGTGACATTGGGGTCAGCTACTTAATTTCTGCCTGCCTCGGATGGTGCTAAGCACTCAGAACAGTGCTGCCTTTGACGTGCAAAGATTTTCTCAAATAGCTTATATTCTAAAATAACTCTTACATGCTGCAGCCTTGCAGCCAAAAAATAAAAAATAAAATAAAATGCTCAAATACTGCCTACAAAAAATAAATAAATAAATATAAATAAATAACTTACAGAGTGGGTATGTAAGATGCTTTCTTAGGTCTGACATAAGAACTCAATAAGCAAGAATTGGTATTGTTACTGTCACCACGGATGATGATTAATCAGCCCCCAATAATCCTATGAAAAGAGTATTATTGTCCCCATGGATCAGAAGAGGAAACTGGGGCTCAGAGAGGATCACAGAGAAAGGAAATGGTCCATCAGGATCTGAACGGCGCCTGCCACTGTCCCAGTGCGTGTGCGCCCGTGTGCCCGTGCGTGTCCCCGTGTCCCCCGCGGCTCCCCAGCTGGGCCGGCCCTTCCTGCCGCCGGGCGGCCCCGCGCCCCCCTGCCCTGGGCTTCCTGTGACTGCTTGTTTGTTTGCGAGCCCTGGTGGCGGCGGCGGCGGCAGCGACGGCAGCGGCGGCAAGAGAAGGAGGGAAATCGTATTAATAATGCCCTGGTTCCAGCAGGAAACGGCCGTCAGACACGCTCGCCGCCTCCCTCCCTCGCCCAAGGGGCAGGAAACGCAGGGACGGATGCCAAGGCTCGCCGGGAGACCTCGGCCTGGCCGCAGCGCGGGCAAAAAGGAACCAAGCCGGCGTGGGGGCGGGGATCTCACCTGATGTCTGGGTAGTCCCGCACCAGCATCCCCACCTCCATCTGGATGCTGGGCGTGTCTTCCAGATGCAGAACTTCGGCCAAACGGGGCACCACGGCGTCCAGCCACGAGGCCTGGGATTCCTGCATGGGAAGACCCCGGGCTCACACTCAACACCCACCCCCTCGAAACCACAGCCTCCCAAGGCCTCGCCTCGCCTGGCAGTTTTCTCGTCCGTAAAACCGGGCAGAGGGCAGACTGCAGTCAGAGGTTATCTGGAACCTTTGGAAATTTGAAGAAAAATCCATAATATAACCTACTCCCAGTTTTGCAGATAATTTGGGGCTCGGGGACACCCCTCAAAACCTATTCTAAATTTGCAAAATGTTACCATCGGGGGAAACTGCATAAGGTATGCCAGCGATCTCTCTGCATTCTTTCTTATAACTGCATGTGACTCTACAATTATCTCCCCCCCAATTTTTTTTTTTTTTTTTTTTTTTTTGCGGTATGTGGGCCTCTCACTGTTGTGGCCTCTCCCATTGTGGAACACAGGCTCTGGACACGCAGGGCTCACAGGCCCAGCCGCTCCGCGGCATGTGGGATCTTCCCGGACCAGGGCATGAACCCATGTCCCCTGCATCAGCAGGCGGACTCCCAACCACTGCGCCACCAGGGAAGCCCTCCCCCAAAATTAAAAAGAAAATTCCAAGGACTCTAGGTTAGAAACTCCTGGAATAGCGGCTGAGTGAGACCCTTCCCGTCCAGCTCATTACAACTGGGTACAAATAAGATTTGCTGATTTTTAAATGCTTGGATTTGGAAACGCTAAGGTTCTGAGTTTCTCTTGCATTTAGCGACTATCTGTGCTCATAATAATGGCTAATGTTGAGGTCCTAAGCCCTTTTAATGGGACTTATCTAATCCCCACAACAAGGCATAGGGACCATTTTTCTCTTCATTTGTGCCCAGAGCGCTCTCTCTTTCAGTTAGAAAGGCAGTTTTTACCCTCAGAGGGCGAAGAGCAGAGTGTTACTATTGGCTGCAAACCGGGTGAGGGTCTTATTCTAAGCCCCCGCCCCTGGCTATCGAGTCTGGGGATTCCCGGAAGCCAAAGTTTTCCGTAGTTTCGGAGCCCCCCGCCCCCGGGCCGCACTGACCAGCCGTCGGAACAGCCTCTGCAGCTGCGCCGCGTCCTCCCGGAGCCTGCCGGCCACGCGGCTGCGGGTCCGCGCGGAGCCGCAGCGCAGGCGCCCGCGGAACAGGGGCCGCACGTACTCGACCAGCGCCCGCCGGTGCAGCTCGGCCACCAGCTCCTGAGGACCCGGGAAGACGCAAGGGGGTGTGAGCCGCCGGTGACACCCCCCTCCCCGCTTCCCACCCGCCCGCTCCCGCTCCGGACACCCAACGGGAACCCCTGCCCACCCCCAGCCGCCGGCGGCCCTCCCGGCTCCCAGTGGGTGACCCCTGTCCTGCTCCCCCTAATCAGCTCGCGGACCCTCCCCCACCGGCCCCCAGAGGGTGCCCCATCCCAGCCCTCTCCGCTTTCTCCGGAGCTCCGCCGCCGGTGACCCCCCCCTCCCCGCTTCCCACCCGCCCGCTCCCGCTCCGGACACCCAACGGGAACCCCTGCCCACCCCCAGCCGCCGGCGGCCCTCCCGGCTCCCAGTGGGTGACCCCTGTCCTGCTCCCCCTAATCAGCTCGCGGACCCTCCCCCACCGGCCCCCAGAGGGTGCCCCATCCCAGCCCTCTCCGCTTTCTCCGGAGCTCCACCATCCAGAGGCCCCAACCCCGCCAGCACACCGCGCTACACCCCGGTATCCGCGGGCATCCTCCGCGCAGACCACAGGTAGAGCGCCACCTATCTCGCCCTGAGAGAGCTTCTCCCCACCTAGAAGGGCTCTCTCCCCTCTGAGCGCTCTAGCTCTGCTCTCCCACCCTCCCCCCACCGGCCCCGCGTCCCACCCTGCGTCCCTCCCCGCGTCCCTCCCCCGCACAAGCAGATGCACCTGGTAAGGCTCATCTTGCATCCTGCGCAGTGCCAGGGCCTTAGCGCCCAGCGTGCCCACGATGCCATCCAGGGCCTCCGAGCTGCTCAGCCACTTCCTGCGCATCAGCTTGCTGAAGTGCGGCTGGGTGGGACAGAGTGGGCAGAGGGTCACAGTTCGCCTCCCTTCCGCCCTCTTTCTTCATAGATCAATCCAACATTTGTTCCCAAAACGCTGTTCCGAGCTGAACCAGGGCTGCGCAGTGCTGGGGACACAGCAGTGCGGAGGCAGTCCAGCCCTGACCTCCTGGGGCTCTCAGTCCAGCCCTGCCCTCCTGGAGCTCTCCTCCAGAAGGGGAGACAGACCCGTTCCCCAGACAGTGACCATTCAGAGTGTCCACGGCTGGAAAAAGGGAGCCCAGGGGGTTAGGAAGCCCAGCCTGAGTCAGCATAGAGAGTCAAGGAGGGCTTCCTGGAGGAGGGGGCACCAGAGCTGAGGCCAGGAAGATGGTCACTGTTAGCCAAGTGAGCGGTGGGAGAGGGAGTGGCTCAATCCGAGGGGAAAGCCAGTGTGAAGAAGGTTCAGGTTTCAGATGGGCTTGCAGGTCAGACGACCGGAAAGAAGGTCAGTGTGGCTGGCAAGACCATCTGTATAATTCACGGGCCCAATGCAAAAATGAAAATGGGAGACCCTTTGTTCAAAAAGTATTAAGAACTTCAAGACAGAGAGAGCAGAACTTTAAACCAAGCTAGGACCCTTCTAATCAGGGGGATGTGGGGGGAGCCTGTATGACTGCCCAGTGAAGAGATGGGGCTGGTCAGGTGAACGGAGCAGATCACACAGGCCTCCTGGGCTTGGGAGGAGCCCCAGATTTCTCTTGAGGGCACTGGGGATCCATGGCAGGTTCTAAGCAGAGGAGAGAGAGGGTCAGCTTTGTGCTTCACCGTGATGGCTGGGAGGGGGCAAGACTGAGGCAGAAATGGGGGGTCTGGAAGGAGGGGAAGGGGTGAGAAGGGATGAGGAGGGGGAAAGGAGAATGCAGGTGGTAGATTCATAGGATGTAGTAAGTGGCCACCGGTGGGGGGAGGGGAGGGAGGCATCTGGATTCTGGAGGTGGGATGGGCAGTGGGTCTGTCCCTCAGGTGGAGGCTGGGAGCATGAGGTGCCCGGACACCTCTGGGGTTGGTGTCCATGGGGGTCTGAAGCAGGTTCCTATCCCACTCAGCCCAGCACCCCCTTCCTGCTTTCTCATCCCATAGTAGCCCAGTTTTCTGAACCTCCAAAAATGAGGCCTGTGGGCTTTTGTTGGAAAGCAGGTGTGAATCAAATGAGCTGACGCTCTCGGTACAGCACTCAGCTCAGGACGTGTTGCTGTTGCTATAAACTCTGTACATTTATGAAGTTCCCTAATGGCCAATACACGAGGGCCAGGACCCAAGCTAAGTACTTTATGGCCACAAGCCCATTGCTTCCTCACAGCCATCTGAGAAGCCTGGAATTCCTGGGCCCATTTTCCAGATGAGCAAACATAGACCCCCAAGAGGAAAGCCATTTGCCTAAGTCCCCCTACCTGGAAGCCATACAGCCAGGCCTGGAACAAAGACTGTACCCCCTTCCTCCCAACACTCACTTTCATTCCCATGTTTGTCCATTCAGTCATTCAACAAACACTCTCTGAACCCTGCCTGTGGCCCAGCCCTGGGTGGATCACTGGGGATACATTAGAGAACGCTTGGGGACACAACACAAAAGGAGATAAACAAAACTCCAAGCGTTTGATAATTATAAGCACTTGGGGGCCTCTGAATTCTGATCTGATATTTGACGATATTAAGGAATGATTGTTCCATTTGTTAGGTAGGAAAATGGCATTGTGGTTACATTTGTTTAAAAAGGCTGGGTTCCTTATCTTTCGGAGATACAGGCTAAAGTGTTGATGGATGATGATAGGATGCCAAAGATGTGCTTGAAAAGAATCCAGTGGGCAGGAGAGGTGGGGGGAGAGGTGGAGTTGATACTTGCTGGAGCTGGTCCACAAGAGGTCATTCTGTCATTCTGCCTACTTTTGTGTATGTTTGAAATTTTCCATAATAGAAAAGTTATTTTAGAAACATTCCAACAAATCCTTGCCCTTGAGAAGCTGACATTCCAATGGGAGGAGACAGATTGGGAAAAAAAAAAAAAAGCAAAGGATATAGCAAGGCAGGTGGTGATAAGTGCTTTGGAGACAAATAGAGTGGTGGTGGGGGGGTGGCATGTGGGAATCTCAGGGGCTTCTATTTTAAATAGGGCAGTCAGGGGAGGTCCTTCTAAGAAGGTGACATTTGAGTCAAAACTTGAAAGAGGTGAGAGAGGGAGCTTTGTGGCTATTGAGGGAAGAGTAGTCCAGGCAGAGGGAACAGGTGCAGAGGTACTGAGGTTGGAATGTGTCTGACACGTTAAGGAGAAGCGAGGGGCAAGGAGGAAAGTGGGAGGGGATGAGGTCAGAGAGGGAAAGGGCAGACCATGTGGGCCTCAGGGGCCACAGGGAGGACTTTGGCTTTTGCCCTAAGTGAGCTGGGAGCCATGGAGGGTTCTAAGCAGAGGTGGGACACAACCCTACGTACAATGTGGATTGAGCACGAATTACAACCAGGGACATGCACACCTCTCAGTTCCGTTCCCGGGTACTCCCACCAGCTCCTCACCCCGCTCTCACCCACCTCTGAACCTAGTCCCCTCTGGGCATGTGCAGGACGGGGATGAGTGAATGAGGCCCTAGGGTCTAGGAGAGGCTGGGCAGGGATTTGGAGAACCTCAGTGAGGAGGGGTTCCACCCAGTCACCTAGGCCCCTTCGTGCTGATTGCTCTCTATCCTCCCCCTGACCATATCCTCCCACCTCTTCCTTCCTGCGCCCCCCCCGTCCCCCTAAACGGCCCAGACATGGCCATCACCCCCCCACCCCCTCTGCTTCCCAAACACTGAGTCATGGGCTGAAAGGAACTGCAGGATGGGGTGGGGGCACTCCCCTGTCCTGGCCCCAGCCCCACCCAGCCCACTGCCTCTCTCACCTGCAGCTCCTGGAACAGCAGGTCGGTCAGGATGCGGTGGCAGAGTCGGGTCACTCGGTCCAGAGCGCTGGCTGCAGCTTCCCGGGCCGGCTCACTCTCAGGGGGTCCCACCCGGGCCAGGCGCTCCGCCAGAGCCCTGTGGGGATCAGTGGAACCAAAAGTCAAGGAGCCTCAACATCTCAGCCCAACTGCCTGGACCTGTCTCCCATGAGACGGACCCTATTTTGTGGGGCACAGGGGCGACAGGTCAGATGGGGAGCTGGGGGAAGTCAGGGGCTCTGGGGGGGCCTGGGGGCTGAGAAATATCAGGGGATGTCTGGAGGCTTGGGGGGCTCTGTGGAATGGCTGGGAGTCTGGGGGATGGAGTGGGGAGGAAGCGGTCTGTTTCTCTCGCTGCTTTCTGGGTGAGAGTGGGGATGCTTCCATCCTAAAAGTCTGTGCTTCTAAAGGACTGTAATTCTAAAATTCGACCCTTCTCATTTTCTGTCATTGTAACAGTTGATGACCCTCTCCATCACTGAAAGGAGAATAACTTGGTTTGGAGGGCAACCGGGCACTTTCTGCCCACATCCCAGCAGATCCCCTTCTGAGAATGTATCCCTGGTCCCCACACTTGTGGGAGTTGACAGATGTGCCAGGTTTTTCTCTACAAAAGAGTGGAGGCAACTGTCCATCCACTGGGGACAGATGAAATGAATGACGGCACATCCAAGCGGTGGAAGACAGTTCAGCTATAAAAGATATAAAAGAAGCTGGTGGGAACTCTTCAGGCGCTAGCAGAAAGATCTCCAAGGTGTTGAGTGGAAAAGGACAGAGTGTGTTCAATATTCTACCATTTGTACTTTTTTTAAAGGAAAAGGAATAATATGTATGCACATAGTAATAGATTTACTTGTATATTATGAAATAGGCATATGCATGGCTATCTATGCATATGCATGTAGTGTGTCTATGCATATATACACTTATTTACACATATTTGTGAGGCATTAGCAATAACTGGAGGGAAGGAGTTGGGGAGGGAGGCTTTTCACTGTGTGCCTTATTGTATCTTGAATGCATTCCTAATTTTAAAAATTCAATTAAAAATAAGTTAATAAAAAGGTAAAGTAATATAACTGAATCGCTTTGCTGTACAGCAGAAATCAACACAGCATGTTAAATCAACTATACGAGGAAAGTATTATAAGAAAAAAATGTTTAAAAAAATGTAAAAATGTGTAAAAAAATGTAATCCCTAGAGTCTGGCTTCTAGGTTCCTGTAATTCTAACACTCCCAGGTTCCCAGTAATTATAGATTACTCTATAATTCTAGTGCTCTGTGATGCTACGGTTCTTTCTAGGACTCCCAGATTTTATGCTTCTAAGGTCCCCTGGATATGCCTCTCGGGGCTAGCTCTGCGATCCCCACCCAGGATCCAGGCACCCCAGTTCAGCTTGTCACCCAGGACTGGCCTTCTCGCCCACACACTGTGGGTGCTCTCACCTCAGGGGGGGCCCACAATTGACCAGGGAGATGGTCCTGCTGATATAGGTGTCGGGTAGCAGCTCCCGGACTCCTGGGTTCTCGTGGAATCGTTCCACGCGCTGCTGGAAGCTGGCGGGAGGAGAAAGGGAGGATGGTAGACCGATGGAGCACCGCTGGATAAGGGTCCCCGGCTCTGGCACTCAGCCCAGCAAAGCCCGCGATCCCCACAGAGGCGCCCCTGCCCATCCTGACTTGATTCACTTTCAGCTCTCCTCTCTCTGCTGGCTCCCGGGTCCAGATGCCCCACCGCCACCCCAGCCCTGCGCCCTTCCCCCCAGCCCTCCATACCTCTGCAGGAATTCTGCCAGCCCCCCCAAGCAGCAGTGAGCCATTCGCTCCCCAAACTCCTGGCTGATGTGGGGCGCTCGCTCTGTGTGCTCTTCCAGCAGCTGCGTGGTCCAGGGGGATGAGAAGTGATGAGGAAGAGAGGTCCCACTTTCCCACTGGTCACCATCCAGCTGATTGTCCTTTCCTCTTCCCCGCCCCCTACCTCACACACATCCTGTGCCAGGCTGCTGGACCGGTCCTCCGCACCTGCCCAGTGCCCCGCGTCCTCCTGCAGCACTTGAAGCAGGGCTGCCCGTGTCTGAGCCTGGAGTGGGGAAGTGGGGGCAGAGGCAGGAGTCAGAGTCCCTGGGAGCCTCTCCCTCCCTTT